ACCACCCCCCCCCACCCCACCATCTTCCAAAGCCACCAAGACTTGTCGTCAACACCCGTCGCCCGCCTCCAGACAACTGTGAAGCCCTTTTTATCGTGCACGACTCACTCAGCGTTATTTTCAAAGTGTGTTGAAAAGGCGGACCAGGAGGTCGTCGGCTCGCGCTCTCCGGCGATAACGCACCCGAGTTTTTAACGTCATCAAATCAGTGCAGTCAATCAATAATAGTCAGGCTAATAATATGAATTCATAACAAACCAATCACGTGTCAGAATCTTGATTTGGTCTTGAATAGAACATTTTTTTTTTTGGGAGGGGTGGGAGGGGCTTTTTTTTCCTTTTCAATTTCATGCCACACAAAATGCAGTAGTATGATGGAGGGGAAAAAAAATCCAAATTTTTCATAAATACATGACACATAGCATAGTTAGACCCAAATACGGAAATCGATTTGAAAAAGAAATACAGTACTTCATGAAATGAAACCTTGAAAAGTCTTATGAAAAAAATATTAAACGCAAAAAAAAAAAAATCAACCAAATCGAGTATGAACGGATGAAAATGTAAACGTCAGGTTCTTGATTTGGTGTTAGAGGGGAAAACAAGGGAAAAAATGAGGGGGGGGGTGGAAAAGCCAAATGAATGGGTCAAAAAGAATAATTGCAGATAATAATTGAAAATACTCAAATGTGCATTTCCTGCGATTGGCTGGCAACCAATTCAGACCCTAACGAGGATAAAGCGGTTCGGAAAATGAATTGAGTGATGAATGAAATGTGCATTTCGCCGTTGCATCAGTGAATTTGGTGAAAAAAAAAACATACAATTTTTAAATGAGTTTTTAAAATAATTCACCAAAATACAAAAAAAAAAAAAAATCTCAACCAAAGAGACGAATATGTGAAACGACACAATTTTGACCAATTTGAAAGAAATGCCCGGGCGAGAACATAACAAGCAAATTCAAACAAATTCTCTGGAGAAAAAAAAAAAAAATATTGGCCCGAAAAAATGCAACCAAAAAAAAAAAATACAAATGAAGATGAAAAGAAAGAATATTTGGAGACATGACAAAATGCTTGTCTTGGACGGGGGGAAAAAAAAAAACTTTGAAATATGTTTCTGTTCTAATATGTGAAATATGAATTCATATATATATAGGAATAACCCTTTATTTTCTCCAAATTCCCAACACTTCTGGAGGATTGGATGTTTTCCTTTCTCCTCTTTTTTTCTCCTTGCTCAATTTTTCTTGCTACCTTTCTATGTGTCTTTGATTGATGGACAGGTCAGCCGCCATTGAGAGGGAACGCCCCGCATCCTCCATTTTGACACCTTTTGTTTGGATTGAGCGCCGCCATTTGGCCGGAAGCGGGACATCAGCGGAGTTTGCGCTGGCCCACCAAGTTTGTGACAGGAACTTTCA